GGTGGGCCCTGCTTGGGCAGGGGGTTGGGCTGGGGGACCCACAGAGGTCCCTGCCAACCCCTGCCATGCTGGGATTCTGGGATTCTGTACACGCCGAACCGAACGGGCGAAGCGATAGCGCTGGTCAGATAATACAGCGACTAAGGGTAATGCAACCGATCTCTTTTAAATGCAAACAGAGCAGCTATTTCGCTTGGAAACCCAGGGGACAGAGAGGAAAAAGCAGCCAGGCAGCCCAAGAGATTCTTTGCAGCCGAAAGCCAATGTTCAAATAACGTGAAATGTAGGGCAGAGGAGAAGAAGAGCGAGCGTAATGAAAGGGGGGCCGGTGCCGGCGACGAGGCGGCCCTCTTTCATCGGTGGCGTTGGCAGTTCTGCTCTGCTGGGTGCTCGCTCCGTGCCCAGCGTGCCCTGAACGCTCCCCGGCACACGCGGCGCCTTCCCCACGGAGATGCCAATTAAAGAGGTTTAAGCAAGACCCCTGCTTATACCCACCGGGTGGGCAGCGTTTTTTAACTGCATATATAGCTCATCTCTACAGCCAAAAGAAAAAAAAAAAAGTGACCCTTCTGGTTAGCGATGAAAAACTCATTGTTTTGTGGAATTTTGCAGGTTTTTTTCCCCCCCTCCGCGCTCTCGGGATCTGCGTAAGGGCGGCAGCGTGGGCTCTGCGGAAGGGAAGCTGCAGGTCTGACATGGCTCGGCTGGAGCAAGGGGGGCCACAAGGGTGCAAACCCGGGCTGGGAGCGAGGAGGCTGTGGGACTCCTTGCCATTAAGGGACTGGAAGGCGATTTCTAAGCGCTTCTGCAAACCGGGCAGTTGTCCTGGCATCTGCCATCTGACTCCAAAGCGAGCGCTTGAAGGTCAAACGATTTCTAAGGAAGAGAACAGAGCAACAGGAACCTTTCAGCTCCACAGTCCCCATCGTCCCAGGCCTTCAAACGCGGCCGCTGACTCCGGAGCCACCCTAACAAAGCAAAAAGTTGGGACAGAAAGCTTAGCGAGGACGGCACGCGATCACAAGAGCACTGCCCGTCACAGAGCTCAGAAGAGCTCCACGACAAGCTCCTGGCATGGGCTGCTTTGCCTTTTCTTGGTAGCCCTAGCACGCGGAGTTATGCAAGATAAAATATGAGGCTACGCTGCTGCGAGCAGCCAAGAACTTTTATGTAAGTTCCCTCGCTGGCTCCGCACGGCCCCACTCCCACAAGGAGCTGCGTGCGATAAGGAACCGGCTTCTCCTCTGCTGCGCCCGCCTGCCCGCCGCCCCCGGGGATGCCAGGGAGACCAGCACCGTCCCGGGGACGCAGACGCGCAGCCAGGACCTCACGCCACGCCAGGCATCGCTCCACCTCGCCAGTCTTCTGCTCGCTGTGCTCGCTCCTGCTAACCCTGCCTGCTGTGGGTGACCCTGCTTGGGCAGGAGGGTTGGACTAGATGACCCACAGAGGTCACCCACTGTGTCCAGTTCTGGGCTCCCCAGTTCAAGAAAGATGAAGAGCTACTGGAGAGAGTCCAGCAGAGGGCTACGAGGATGGTGAGGGGACTGGAGCATCTCCCCTACGAGGAGAGGTTGAGGGAACTGGGCTTGTTCAGCCTGAAGAAGAGAAGGCTGCGAGGGGACCTTATAAATGCCTACAAATATCTGAAGGGTGGGTGTCAGGAGGATGGGGCCAAGCTCTTTTCAGTGGTGCCCAGTGACAGGACAAGGGGCAATGGGCACAAACTGAAGCACAGGAAGTTCCGTCTGAACATGAGGAAGAACTTCTTCCCTCTGAGGGTGACGGAGCACTGGAACAGGCTGCCCAGGGAGGTTGTGGAGTCTCCTTCTCTGGAGATATTCAAGACCCGCCTGGACAAGATCCTGTGCAGCCTACTGTAGGTGACCCTGCTTCGGCAGGGGATTTGGACTAGGTGACCCACAGAGGTCCCTTCCAACCCCATCCATTCTGTGATTCTGTGTGATTCTGTGACTTTGCAACCCAAAGTCAAGGCACCGGAGCCCGAGCAAAACCCAGACCCAGCGCTGCCCGCCGCTGCAGCCGGGGACGAGGACTTAAGTAATTAGCGTCGTCAAAGCAAGTAATCCCGTTAGCCAGCATAACTTGTGTAAGGGCTTTAGTCAACTCGGTACAAGCAGTTGTCTGATGCACAAGCACCCACTTTTTGAAAGATGGGAATCTTACCCTTGTTAACGCTGCGTTCTGGCGGAGCGACCCGCAGCGGGGACCCTCCTGCAGCCAGCCTCGGCTCGCCTGGGGCCGCGGGGCACGGCCGTCAGAGCAAGAGCTGACCCGAAACCTCGGCCCCCAGGGCACCCAGAAGGGTGACAGAATCTTGCCCACTTCCTGCTGCTATCTGCAAACTGGGGAAATACCTCCTTATCTCATAAAAAACCCTGCTGCGGCTCGTCGCAGGCTGCCCAAGCAGCGCCAAGCCTCAGTGTGCTAAACCCACCCTCGCAGCCAGCTCCTTCCGCGCGCCGCCCGCAGCCACCAATTAACAAAAAAGTCGGATAAAATACTCACAACACTGCAAGCAGCAAGCGCAGCGATCTTCGTGCCACCTCCCCTTTGCACACAAAACCAGGTGCTGCGCCCAGTCTAGCTGAAAGAGCTTTAGGTCTAGAACTTCTGATTTTGCAAAGGCGTCAAGACACGCTCCGTGGATCGCTCCCGAGGAGACGATTCCCACTCTGCCAGCGGGACAGGCACCGCACGCCAGACCACGAGCAGGAGGACACCAATGCAAGCGAACTTTTGAGGCGTACCATGGATTTAAAGGTCAGCTTGAGGGAATCCAGCGAGAGTAAGAGGGCAGGGATGTCTCTGCTAGACTGCGGTGCAAGAGTTAAGATTACTACAAAATTAATGCAGATTTTCTTTGCCAGGTCAGGAGCACGCGGGTATTCGCAGCCCCCCGAGGGGATATGGATAGTTAAGGAGGGGATATTTGAATGAATTGCTGCAACCTAAGCTAAAATGAGGAAAATTTCTAACAAGTCTAACAAATGAGTATTTTTCACAAACTAGTCATAGAGGGAGAATTACCACAGAATCACAGAATGGTAGGGGTTGGAAGTGACCTCTGTGGGTCATCTAGTCCAACCCTTGCGCCGAAGCACGGTCACCTACAGCAGGCCAGAGAGGACCGCAGCCAGGCGGTTCTTAAATATCTCCAGAGAAGGAGACTCTACAACCTCCCTGGGCAGCCTGTTCCAGTGCTCCGTCACCCTCAGAGAGGGTTAAAAGCCTCTATTCCTCCAGGAGAAATTTCCACAGCCGCGCTTCAGCCTCCCCACGGCTCTCCCAGCACAGACTGGGTCGGATCACCTCATCTATCGCGCATCTTCCCATGACAGCGGTGGAAACGAAGCAAAGCTCCTCGCGTCTCGCAGGACCGGAGCCCGCAGCAGCAGACAGAGCAGGGCTGCCCGATCCACACCTCCAGAAAGAGCCAGTACCATGGAAGAGAAAACAAAGTGATCCTCAAATTCCTGTTTATATAGCTGAGAGTCCCTTGGATGACTGTGCAGAGCAACCCAGCGAGATTCATTACTGAAAAAGGAGCAAGTGCTGCTTGCCTGAAGCTGCTGCCACAGCAAAGCTCCGTTTGCTCCCGGCGCGGCTGGGTGTCGAATGAAAAGGAGGTGTCCTGGGCCTTCAAGCCCAAAAAATCACCCAGGATTAAACACGCTCGATAATAAACACGAGAGAGGTTTCACTGCAACCCCTGACACCCATCTGGGAGTGAATCGGAAGGGCACTGAGTGCCATAGCCCCCTTCCCCGTTTGCTCCTCACCGAATGCATGACGTTACAGATAGACAGTCGAACAGATGGCTACAGATGCATTTTGGGGCGAAAAAAAAAAAAAAAAAAAAAGAAAAAGGAGATTTGGGGCATTCTGAACCAGCCAGTACAGCTCAGACAAAACTAAGCCGGAGTAAAAGCTGTCTCTCCTTGTGCTCAGAGCCACGACGTAAGGCACGAACAGCTTCCAATTACTGCGTCCTCTCCCGCACAAGGCACCCGAAACACCGACCGGCC